ACCACCAAAAACTCCTGCGATGCAGTGATGCGCTGACCTTCCATTCTTGTTTTCCACGACCCTAGTCCGGATGATGCGGTTCCTACCCCTCCTTTTCCCACTCATCATGGCGAGAGGGGTACGCAGTATGTATACCGTATCAGTATCCGTTCGCACTTCGGCCTTCCCTCGCCGTTGCGGGTGATTTCATGTCACAGGCGAAAGGGTTGCATGTGTTGGCTGCACTGCTTCTCACCCCAGAGCTGGTGACAACTCAGAGCCACATTTTGTGTCGACCCTGGTCTCTTACAGCAGCGCCGAGGGGTACCGGTCTGGTCTCTCTGCGTGAGCCATCAAGCTGTTTAACTGCCCGACGCCAGCATCGGGGAATCGGGCAATGTCGTCGCTGTGTCAATTTCGACTGTCAAGTCCTGCGCCCTGTCTACAACTCAATATGACCATTCCTCGACATCATCCGAGGCCTGGGTACGGCCATGCATTACTAGGTCTAGGCGGTCGTCAATAATCCACTGCTTGTGTCCGCGACCATGTCCGTATTTGGTTGTCTATGATGTTGCCAACCCACTTACTAAATGCGATTTCGTACTTGTACCTACAGGACGCATGCGACTATGAGGAAACTCCATGGAAGAGCGAGGCGGATCCAGACCACTGGTTGCCTCCCGCATCTACTTAGCCCACAGCTGACCACGGATCAGGGCCAAATCGTGCCGCTCGTTGGGCATTAGCTCGACCAAGCATGATATCACGGCTGTAGGAACCCTCAGAACGGGAACATCAGTCGATCACCGCAGACCTCACGTTTCATCACTTGGCACTTTACGAATCGGATGACCGCCCTCTGCCCATTAGACAGATAAGCTCCATATACGCACACGCGGTAAAGCTTCTGACGTCTGGCCAGGCTCCAACTCGTCGCCAGTCACCATGGGCCGGTCCGCCTCCGCTCCGTGGTGCCTTCTCTCCCGAGTGGCAGACAAATTTCAAGTGTTTAGCGTCATTCTTTCGAAAGAGACGATGTGAGCTAATAGGTAGGCATTGGTCTCGTAGCCCCGGAAAAAGGAGGCTTTCAGACGCGAGCGAACTGCCGTCAGGTTGTCAGAGGCCACACGCAGCACACCTTTTCGTCACTAGGCCGCATGACAGGCAGCCAGTAAGCACGCCTCGCCAGTTGGGTCGATCTCAGCCAGCCATCTTGAATCGCCAGATGTGCCAATGATCTTTTCTCAGTGGTCTGCCAGTCTGACGACCTTTGCAAGTACGATCTTGTTGGGCACTGAAACGCGGTTACCGCCGTTATCCCTATTGCTTCTGAATGTCTCACAAGTCTACGACGTCGAACAACGCATTGCTGCCACTGCGTGGTCTTCATGTCTCTATTTTCCTGAGGCTGAGATGTATTGCTGGGTTGGCTTCCTCCCCTCATCGTAGCATCAACCCATGGGTATATTCGATGCCGCCTCATTTTGGACGCCTTTGATGTTCGCATAACGATTTTGCTGTCCCTTGTGCTCTTCTCAGTAGAGGCCGCAACTAGAACGCCTGATCAAGAACACACGACGAAAAAGCTGTCTTTTGTTCCCCGTCCAAATCACCCGTTCCGTCGATCTATGTGCACCGAGCAGACCGAAAGGCCGTCGTCATCAGTCTGTTGCACAAAGACTATCGAAGTCAACGTCGCAGACCAACATTATGGTGATCCAAACCCAATGTTCCTAAATCTCAGTTCTGGACAACCTGAACATTGTTCTTCTTCTATCATTCCACATTCGTCAGTAATCGTTTACAACCCAGTGACCTCATAGCAAGGGGGAAAGTAAAAGGAGCAACGTCTCTTGCATCCAACACGAACCTTCCACTTCTCCAGCTCGTCCTGTTTAGCCTTGTACTGCTTGACAAGGTCCTCCAGGACCTTCTTCAGACCTTCCGAGTTGGTCGTCAGGGCGGGCATGACGTCCTTGACCGTCTGCTCCATGAGGACCCCGTTGATGAGGCGGAAGCACTTCCGGTCCTCGGATAGCGGTTGCAGGGTCTCTAGGACGAGCCTGTGTAAAACGAGTCAAGGTTAGAATAAGAATGGTTCATTTTGCATGGGAGGCGGTGTGCCGGGGAGAGAGGGAACGAGGGGGAAGGCGGGAGGGGGGGGGGGGGTTCATCAAGGGTTCGTCATTTGAGTTTCTGAAGGAATGAAGAGTGAAGAGCGGTGTGATGAGGGCGAACAGTTGGCGGAGGGCCATGCCGGAGTGAGTTCCGGTTTGAGAACGAGAAAGGGAGAGAAAATCCATCATGTGCCTATACCACCCCTTTCCTTGGACGACGCAGGGTTCACGATCTCATCCAGGGCATGGGTGACGGCCTTTCTCTGTCTCTCAATATTGCGAAGGCGCCGTGAGGGAATAAGATGAAGTGAAGATAAGGAAGACTCGGAAGAGGAAGAGAAAGACGCACTTGTGTTCTTCGGCTTCTTGCTCTACATCGCCAATCTTTTGCGCAATCTGTTGCAGGGTGTTCTTGTAGACGCCATACTGCGTTTGCAGGTCTAGGAAAAAGCAGGTTAGCAAAACCATGGCGGGGTTATTCTTCCAAGAGTAACATCTCCTTTCCCCCCTCGGCGGTCGAGGAATGGCGAGTGAGTCAACTAACCTTGCTGCTTCTTCTGGCTCACTTGGGCCGCCATCGTGAAGTCAAGTCTATGAGAGATGAATGGCCGGGGTTGATAAGACCTCGTTGAAGAAAGTAAGGTAGGTACAATGCAGGGCTATGAATCTTACAGTGAGGGAGCGAACGGACAAGCCTGAGGTAATCGACCCTCCCCTCCACCACCGCGCGTGAGCAGTGACCAACTGTGGGATGGAAGTTCTAGAAGGGTATTCGATGTGGCCCGAGCTTTTGCCGCGCTCTCTCCGGATACCTCACAGGTGACTGACTGACTGAGAACACCCCGAAAATGCACAAAGCCCGGCGCGCCGCCTGCTGCCCCACCGAACCGAAGTGGTCTTATCCAATCCCTCGCAGGCCAATTCCCAATCTTCTATCGCATAGGAAACTCACCGGGAATTTCCTCTGGCGCATCTACAATCGTGATCACAAAGCAAACACCGACGGCGAACAAACTCTTCCTCCCACGACAGTTTGACAACCCTTCCCTTGACTTGACCTTTCTCAATTCCGTAAACAACCCACGAAGCCAAATCAAAAATGCATCCTCACCTGCACACCAAGGACAACTTCGGTAAGTCACCAACATATGCATCCGTCATGATTTCCATCCGCGCCCCTCCTCCTCCCTCTCGCCTTTGGGTCATTCAAACCCCGTCGCATTGCCACATTCTCCCCCCTTTACCCCCTGGATATCGTACCAACCACGAGAAAGCATCCATACTAACCGCTTTCCTCCTGCGAAACAGAGTGCGAAGACATCATGGTCGCCCTCGAAGAGTGCCACGCAAAGGGCTTCATGTTCAAGTCCCTCGGTGGCTGCAACGACGCAAAGGACAAGGTCAGCGAGTGCCTCCGCGGCGCGCGCGCAAGGCGCACCGAGGCTAACCGGGCTGCTGCGAGGGCCAAGAGGGAGGAGCGCGAGAACCGGATAAAGGAGCTCAACAAGTCGCTCGGTCTCGATTAGACTGCGGAGCCAAATCACAGAAGCAGACGACCGACAAACGACCGAATCGTTTTTCTGACCTAGACGACTGGTGGACAGGTCGGCAGCAAGGGGGAAAAACACGAATTGTATTATACTACGAACACTCGCAACTACATTGATTTTTTGGCGACGGCATCTGGGTCGGGACGGAATACCAAAAATAACATGAGCGATCTAATGGTTTGGGGCATCCTATGAGGGAGCAAGAGATTGTACCATAGATTATACTCGATCGATGTTCTCACGTCAGCAGAGACAAAAAAGAAATACGACAAAATTCTTGGATAATTTGTATTCCTACAAAACAACACCCATACTCTTCTCATCCTTCAGCAATCCTACAACTCCTCCCAAACACTCGTTCCCTTCACAACGTGCGACGGAACTCGTTGCCAAAGGTGAAGAGACCAAAGACAGACAGCACACTGAGGAGGATCGGCACGGGCTTGCGGAGGCGGATGGCGCGGGGGATGGCGGAGCCACCGAGGACCGCCGAGGCGAGCAGACTCAGCTCGACGCCGTAGGGCTCGCGGTTCTGGATGCGGTAGCCGCCGAGGCCGTCTGCGTAAGTTCGGGTTAGCTCACTCATGTTGCCAACCTACTGAAGCTACTTATGCGACAACGCGGGGCAGGAGATGGATGCTGTGAAGCGGGTGGAGGGGGGATGTTGAGAGATGTAGGAAAGGGGATGATGGCGCGGTGGAATTATGCGTACAGAGAAGACCGACGCTGACTCCGGCGACGATGGACGGGACGGACTTTGTCCGGGCGTAGCCGGCGATGCCGCCTCCGGCCGTCAATACGGCCAGGGCGAAGGAGGGGACGGAGAGGTCAGAGGACTGCGCATGTTGTCTTTTGTTAGCTTTACGTTCTTATGCGAAGGAGACAAGTCATCGTACCATTTTGGAGTGATTTGTTTGGGAGAAATTACTGGGAATACAAATTCAATCGATGTCGGATTGCGATTGAGATGAATTGAAGTGAGAATTAATAAGATAGTTCCTTGGTGAGCAGAGGTGAGGAAGTTCCGTTGTTTGCTTGCTTCGGTGCCTCGGGAAGTCAAAGCTTCGGCCTCCCACCCACTCAAAAAAGGAACAGCTTCTGGGAAAGCTGCTGGATGATCTCATCCATCGACGTGACCCTGACTAATCACGACATTTCCCAGGGGCACGCCGCAGCGGGAGTCGTCAGGGACCACCACTGGACTGCTACCCCAGATTCGTGGCTTGGCAACGCTCTTGCTCATGCGTACAAGGCCACACCAGCCACATCTATCACCTGACGCCCTGTGGCTTCAAGCTTTCGTGTCCTCCAGAGCTCCCCCCCAGCTCTCAATTGTACTGGTGACCGCAGTACGTACGCAGCAATCGAGACAATCTGGAAGGAGACATTTCCTCAACTCTTCGGTTCACCACCCACCCGAACCCCGAATTTCCTCTCAAAGTACCGCCAAACTCTCCCCTCCCATCCCCCCCGATTCCGACGATCAAAATCCCCAATAATGGCGCCCAAGCGAACCGCCTCCTCCCAAAAAGCAGCACCTGCTACTGCCGCTCCCGCAGTCCACCACCCCGAGCCGCCCACCTCGCCCGCGGGACCGACCGCCGCCGCCGCGATCCCGGGCACGATGACCTCGCAGCCCAAGGCCGTACCCATCACCATGACCCCCAAGAGCACCGGCAGCGGCAGCGGCGCCCAGAACTGGGACCAGGTCCTGGCCAACATTTACAACCACTACGTCAAGAGCACGCCGCAGCGCACCAAGCTGATTGACGTCTTCATGGCCTTCTTGGTCGTTGTTGGCGCGCTGCAGTTCTTGTACTGCGTGGTTGCTGGAAACTACGTATGTCTTTTCTTACATCTTACCCTCTCAATTGGTTGGAGGCTTCTTGCCTCTTGGAAATCACAGATGGGGATTATTTGTACAGTTATGGCTTGAGGAAGGAACCTTGGTGGATTATCATATGGAAACCTACGGAAGAACAACTGCTAACGTCATGATGCGAAACAGCCCTTCAACGCCTTCCTCTCCGGTTTCTCTGCCACCGTCGGCCAATTCGTCCTCACTGGTAAGACAAAATCATGGCAGCACACTTGACAATCGCTAACTTTAGTCGTCTAGCATCCTTGCGCATCCAGACCACCGAGGCCAACAAGTCCGACTTCCCCTCCGTATCACCTGAGAGGTATGCCAGTTTCCTTCTCCCTCTCCTCAGTCGCAAAAAACCACGAACAGAAGACAACGACTACAGAGACTAACACAACAATGACAGAGCTTTTGCCGACTACGTCGCGTGCAGTCTGATTCTGCACTTCTTCTGCGTCAACTTCATAAACTAAGAGCACGTACCAGATGGAAGGAACAGGAGACAAGTTTTTTTATCTTCAGTCAGGACAAGAAAAGGGGGTGTCCGTCCTCAAGGCCAAAGACTGAGGTTCGAAATAGGGTGGATAGACCAATTGGTGATGAAGCATCAGCGCAACAATATCACAATCGCATGAGCATGCGGAACGAACAAAGCAATGTACATTATTTGAGCAGGCGTTGCATCACAGCACGGTAGATGTCAGAGAAGAAAAAAAAAAAGTGCAATTCTGGGAATCATCATCACAGTGGACTCCAAACTTCTAGTTCTATAATCCTGACACCCACCCACCAGCCTCAGCTTCCCAACCCCTTCTCTATCACTCAGCACCCCCGGCCGCAGGCTGATCCCTCGGTGGTCCTGTCGAACCAGCTCTAGGCGGCGGCGGCGGTCCCCCCATCTTCGGAGGCGGCGCAACAGGGGTACCCCTCCCGCTGGGCGCATTATCCGCCTCCCTGCTCTTCTTCTCCTCCTCCTTGAAGTAGTCGTCCATAAAGTTATTGTTCCCGCCGTGATGCCTCTCCTTCTTCTTCCTCGTCGTCGCCGTGCCCGCAGGAGGCGGCGGCGCCGCGGCACCCGCGTCCATCATTTGCGCAGGGACCAAGAAGTCACCCCCTGTCGGAGGAGGAGGAGGTGCGCCGAGACCAGGCGTGGCGGGCGAGAAAAGATTCTGCTGCACCTCGCCTACGGGGCCCGCGTTCCCGTACAGCGCGGCGGCCGGGTCGGCCTTCTCCCCGCCAGCGTCGAACATCATCTCGCCCGGCGCGTCGACGGGCTCGTTCAGCGGCGCAGGTAACCTGTGCAGCGCACCGTAGCCCAGCACGCACCCGAGCGCGCCTTCGCCACCCCACTCGCGCGTCGGCTGGATCGTCACCTCGCGCGTGACGTCGTACTCGTTGTTGTACACGTACAGGCGCAGCGGGCGACCGATATGGTCCTCGACGAGCTCGCTTAGCCCGCCCTCGCCGTGGAGGGCGCCCTCGGGGCTGCCGAGAATGTAGTCGCCGTAGGGGAGGAGGCCCGCGCCGTCGGCGGGGGAGTTTGCGGCCACGTCGAGGACGTGCCAGATGTTGGCGGCGACGGCGAGGGGGGTCCACTGCAGGGAGAGGCCGAGGGAGGCGGTGTCGTGGGGGACGAGGGCGTGGAGCTCGCGAGTGCGTTGGCCCTTTGCGGACCAGAGGCCTAGGGAGACGGAGCCGCCTGCGCAGTTGCGGACTTCTTGGGCGAAGAGGCTTGGGTCGGGGTTGTCCTGGTGTGGAGGGGCGGCTTGTTAGTGTTTTGTGTCTGAGATGGGATGTATACTAGGTCGCGAAGATTACGTACGATGGGCCGGCCATTGATACCGATGATGAAGTCAAACCAAGGCTCGACGTTGAGTTCGAGATTCGTGTTGCGAAGCACCTGGAAACCGAAGGAGCCCTGGTTATTCTGCTGGGTTGGTTGCTGCCCGTCCAGGCGGGACATGAAGCGGTTCAGCGCATTGAACATGGTGATGCGCTCGACGCTCGAGCTGAGTTATCTTCTTGTGTCGTGTTGTGTTTGTTGAGAACGGGAATTTCGGTATGTAAGCTCGAGATCGGTAAGTATTGAGGTCTGTGGTGGCTATTTACTCGGTGTTTGTCGTTGCGAGCATTCCATTCGTTCCTACTTGGAACAAGCTGTCATCCAAGGTCCCCCGTCAGCCTTGCAGATGATCCAAGCTTCTTCCCACACTAGTGGGGTCACCAAGTGGGACCTGACTTTTTAGCTTCCTTTTGCTTCAGCCTCGTTCATCTCATTTTCCATCACTGGGCGACTTTCTCTTATAAGTCTCAACATGTGATATTGTCTCGATGGGTCTGATCAACTAGACTCTTAATCCATAGAAATCTTCCTGTTAACAAAGGGAACTGGGATTGACTTTACCTTCCACTTATGCATCACCACCAAAATGAAGGCGGCCACCAGACTCCCCCTAACGGATGAGTGCCATCACTACAAGTCCAAAGCAGAAGTGCCTTGGGATCTTCAAAAGCAAGCCAAACCCTCTCCTTTCGATCAAAGATCACATCGCAACAGAAGCTAATCAGATATCTAGATACTTTTCCCAGCGCTACTCCCTCTTCTCCTGGTACGACGAGGGCGTCTACCTCACAGATAGCGCCTGGTTCGGCGTGACCCCCGAACCCGTCGCAAACCAAGTAGCAAACGAAATGTACCACACCGACGCCTCAAAACGCGTCCTCGTCGACATCTTCGGTGGCGCCGGCGGCAACACCATCGCCTTCGCCCTCTCGGCCCGCTGGGACCGCGTCATCTCCATCGAGCGCGACGCCGCCACCCTGGCGTGCGCCCAGCACAACGCAGAGCTGTACGAGGTCGCGGAGTACATCACCTGGATCCACGGGGACTGCTTCGACTACCTCCGCAAGCTGAGGGAGAGCCCCGAGGAGCTGAGCGAGGAGTTGAGGGTGGACATGGCCGAGACGGTGGTCTTTGCTTCGCCGCCTTGGGGTGGACCGGGGTACCGGACCGCCGAGGTGTTTGATCTGAGCAAGATGGAACCGTATAATCTGGACGACCTGCACGAGGCCTGCAAACCCATGGATCATGCGCTGTATCTCCCTCGAACAAGTGATCTGAGACAGGTGGCGAAATTAGCCCCGGAGGGGGAGAAGCTTGAAGTAGTGCAGTATTGCATGGAAGGGGCGAGTAAGGCAATGGTGGCATTCATACCGGGAACGTTGAGTACAACACAATCAAAACCGTAATGAACATTTCTTCTTGTTCTAGCTCTTTCACTAAGGGCCACACTCTAACACAAGCAAAACCTGCTTTTACAACGCCTTGACAACGCTACGTTCATCGAACAAATCCTTCAATACCCCCTGAACACAAAACTCCCGGTCTAGTGGCGCCATCGCGTACGTCGACTCGAAAGCGTAGATACTGAGCTGCCCAAAGAACGGCCGTAGGATCTTGCCCACGAGCTCGTCCTTTCTATCAATGCTCACTTCATCATTGATGCCGCCAGGTCCAAGCAGTGGTCGTCTATGGGAGCTGCTCGTGGCCAAGTGCGCCGCAGGGTTGCTACCCAGCGAAGAGCTGACACCCATAGTGCCAAGCTCCTCTGCAAGCTCATCGACAAGTGCAACAGGCTGATAGTTGCTGGATCGATACACAGCGTCAATGGTGTCCGTGACGAAGAGCCACTCATGAAGCTGGAAGTCATCCGGCGCAACGCAAATGAGCAGGTCTAGCAACTTGCAGGCTTGTAGGATAGAGATGTTGTTGTAGGTATCAGATGCGGTGCTGTGATCGGCAGCCACGACAGACGCGATGGCTGCATGAAGTTCGGCGTTGATAATCGGCCATAGCATAGCCAGGTGGATAGCACTGGTCTTCAGCACAAGTGCGCGGACAAGCATGAAGATCTCCGCTCTTGTTGTAGAGGAAGGCGAGGACGTCGCCGTGGCGCCGAGAAGCTCCACTACTTTGTCAGTGATGATGGGAAGCTCTGTGACAAATGCGTCCTCCGTAGCTGCGAGGACTAGCGACGCAGTGCGACGAAGGTTGAGCTGCGTCTTCCGATCTGCCTCCAATCGAGCGGAAGTGGCACCAACACCAAACACGATGCCGGCCGTGGTGGGCGGAGTCATGCGGGTCAGCAGCTCAGGCATACGTTCCTTGTCACTGACGGTCCATTGTCTAAGCAACGGCAACCAGTCGCTTCGGACGAGCTCAATGCTTGAGCTGAAGAACCGAGCATCGTTGAACGCGTCTCCAACGTCCTTCTTCCACGTTTTTTGGTTATTGGGTAGCCTGGACAGTTCTTGTAGTAAGACAAGTGTGTTCTTGGACACAGTATCAGGGAATGCCTTCGCTCTGAAAGCTGGATTGATGACATTTGTTGAAATTGTACCGGCTGCGGACAGCACACGGTCCGTTTCGACTAGGATCTTGGGAAGGTTCGGCACGATTGAGGCCAAGATTGCGATCACATCCTCGGCTCTATCGAGGACACTGACCAGCACAATCGTGGGGGCGCGGCGAACACCGTCGCGGTTCTTTTCTGACTTGTCGTTTGGGGCCGTATCTGAGAACGTCAGGGGCTTGGTTGTGAAGATCGCCGTTAGGAGCCGGAGGAATAGATCCTGTCCTATTTGTTAGTATGTTCTCTATAGCATGTGTTAAGGTAATAATGCTTACCCCAAGCTCGCGTCTCATCTTCCGCTGCTCCCCGAAATTGGTGTTGTCGACCTTTTCGCCCAGGATAGCCGCGAACTCCAACAGACTTGGTAGTGTCTGTCTGTGTGGGAAAGGATTTGTGAGCAGATCACGCAGGAACGCCATGCAGTCGAGCCAAATCTCGTCCATTGCGTCGTCCTCCAGCGAGCGGGCATATTCAACCAAGAATGTGACAAGGTCAATGTCTTGGAGAGATGTTGTCAACGTTGATTTTCTTGAAGCGTCCAATGCCCCGGGGTTCGTTCTGCTGTAAATAGCATTGAAGATGGCAGGGATAGTGTGCTTTGGTCGTGAACCATCCAACGCTGGTAAGAGGTTGAATACTTCGGATTGCGGTACAGGTGTTGTGATATTGATAGAGCCCCGCCAGATTTCGATGACTGTCTCGAGACACTCCAAGGTCTCTGCTGTGAAAAGGTGCTCTAGCAGTCGTCTTGCCCGGTTTCTCATTCGAAGAGATGTGTAGTTGAAAGACGAAACAGATGTCAAGTCCTGAGCATTGATATCGCCCCCTTGGCCCCAGGACCAAATTGTGAAGCAAATGCGAACAGCATCTGCGAACGCAAGGTGCACCGTGAGTCTATCATTTGCGGTGGCACTCCGCGCTTGTGGGGCATCCGAGGTGAAGACACCGGATACCATGGTGCCAAAGAATCCCGATGGCTGCTGATCCGGACCCTTCACAACTTGCGTTCTGGCCTCTTCAATCAGAAGTCGCTCGTGTGCCCGGGCCAGTACTTGCTCCAAAGCGTTGAGTAACGAGATCAGTGTAGACTCTGGCGCATTCCGGTCATCCTTCTTTGAATTGCCGTTGTCTCGGAATATGGATTGTAAGTCACTGAAAGTGTTGGAGACTTGTCTACATAAAGTCTCCACAAGAGGAATGAGAACCTGGAAGATGGTGTCGGAGTAGAACGGTAAGCATTCCGTCAAGAAGCTGACCCAACTGTCGAGAACACTGCGACTGCTGGGAGAGCTTAAGCCAGCCTGGAGACACTTGAGCAAGTTGGGAGGCGGTGACGTCGGCTTGGCCTCTGACTGTGTCGATACTCTAAGGCTCTTGCTCGGTTCAAGACTCAGCTTTCTCTTCTCCGATGACGGAGAAGCAGGTACATCGGAAATGATGATGTCTCGGAGTTTCAGTGCATCGAACACGACGTCCAGCAGAAGAACCTGAACATAGGGGTCGGGTCCAGCGAGCGATTGGAGGAGACGCTCGATGAGAACATTCTCGAGATGGAGGCTTCCCAGGGGTTCCGCATAGGGGTTCAGGAGAATTTGGTGCATGACGGTCAAGGCATAGCGATGAAGTTGAGTTGCTCGGACTCGGATGGTTTCGTCTGCAGGTTCGTTGTTGCCAGCGATGCACCGTAGACAAACGTGGATGAATACCTCTTGCATTGAGATGTCACCTTCATGACCAGCTGTTACGGGTTAGCATCAGGTACCTTCAGTCAGGATTTCCTACTTACTCATCTGCGCGACATCCGGATGCCCGCCATCCACGGTGATCGTTGTAGAAGCCAAAACAGCCCAGATCACGTCTGGCGCCCATCGGAAAACATTCGACAGAGTTCTCAGGTAGTAAAGGCAAAGATCCAGATCGTCTTCAGCCGTGAACGTCGTTGAATTGGTCGAAGTTGATGCCGATCCAATTTCGTTACTCGCTCTAAGGGATTTTAATGCAGAAAACTTCCTCACGAAAAGCAAGAAGAGTCTATCGTCGTCAGTAAACACTCTGGGTCAATGCCTCTAAAGACGGGCAAACCTACTTATCGATACCAACCAAACTATTCAGCCATCCCTTGACAGTCATGAACAACTGGGTTCGTTCATCCAAAAGGGCATCGAGCATGAGAAAGAGAGGTCGCGTCAACATGACATCGTAGTTCTCTGACCCAGCCAGCCGGATCTGTGGAGGCTTCTCGGTCATGGGTGTTTTTGAACCTCGCCTTTCAGCACTGGAATCCTGCAACGTATGAGACCAAAGCACGCTGAACCTGCGGCCAGCATCGGCGGGACGTGATGCGAAGGACCCCTGAACGTCATTCTCGATAATGAGGCTGGCCAAGGCAGCCTCTATATCTCGATTATGTGATGTGAGAGCAGTCTGAAGCTGCCACAATGATCTAACAGTCTCGACGTGGTACTTTGGTTCTGAAGCTGACAGAAACTCCCAAGCTTGTTGGACGAGTGGCGTGACAAGTTCGGTTAGGTTTGGCACCTCTATGCGCTCTGCAGAGTAAAGATGGGCGGAGAGGTACAGAATTGAGTTGAAGGAGGTGAAAGATAATGTGCTTGTGTGATTCAAACGCTCGTGAAGACAAGAGAGGAGGGACGTCGTGTCAAGCTGGTACGTAGTCGGCACTTTGAGTAGTAGGGCGGTCAGAATCCTCCCTTTGGCGCCTAGTTCGGACCCTGCTTCGGGGTTCTTCAATCCTTCGCAGACCAGCAAGCCGGACTTTTGCAACAGCAATTCTCCAACCTCGATAGGCGAGAGTGGAACATGGACGGCATCGAGATTTCCTTGCTCGTTGATATAGAATGCCTTGATTCGTTTCAAAAGTTCGACGGCAGGAAGTGAGGCCAGAACACCAGCCTCCATTGTCCTCTTGGACTTGCTGCCATCTGAAGACGGGAAGGCTCGATCCGGAATAAGGTCCAACACAGCTAGAGCAATGTGCAATGCCTCGTCGGCAGTCTTTTGCGACGACTTTATGGGAGAGTTCTGCTGTCTTTCTCTCGTGTCCTCTAGCATGCAGATAATCGAGAGAGCTGTAAGAGGCGCATGAATAGTGATCATTTCCTCCTCGCGGACATTGAAGTTTGCCAGGATGAAATTGACCAAATCCAACTTGTCGAGCCGTTCTTTTTCTGCAAGGTTTCCTGGTCCTATAGCCTGCGCTAAGAGACTGACAATCTCGCCGTAAATCAGACCGCTCTCGACACCATCGAAGAAAACGCTGGCGCTGCGGAAGACTTCGTTGAAGTCAGCTTTGCTGGGTGCATGGTCTCTGTACTGCCGGACGCTGTTGACAATCGGAAGGAAAACCTCAGGAACTACCAGCCCGCCAATTTCCCATCGATCCATGAGCGACAAGCATATTCTGTAAGGTCTCGCTCTCTCTGCTGGGCTCGAATCGCGGTCGACATTGATCATGCTCAATAGCGCCCTGGTTAAAGGCTGGAGCCCATGGTCTTCAAAGTAACTCGTCTTAGACGCAAAGTAGGAGTTATGATGGTCCGTGGAAGATGGAGACTCGATACCGCTCTCACTTTCCCCGGGTCCAGGGTCCGGGCCTAGGAACCATGCCCAAAGCCTTCGGTTAAGACTCATATCTCTCCGGATGACAACACCAGCCGCCGCACGCAAAAGAAGCTCCAAGTCGCCTGGTTTGACATTCGTCTGCAACACCTTGGAGTGCAAGGGAAGGTGGGTGACCAAGAGATCTAGGAATCCTCGCTGGATGAGGAGTTGCTCGTCTGCAAGCCCAGCAGCAAAGCAACGTAAAAGCAATCCAGGTTCTGGAGAGGTGACCATGTGTGCGAGTTTTGCCGAATGCTCGTCTTCCTGGACGCCATTCTTGCCTGGTTTCCCTGGTAAAGAGGTTTCGCCTAATTTGGGCAGGTTCCTCACAAGGTATGCTAGCGCCCCAGCTCTCCGACTTGATCCTGTGATAGAGGCCAAGAAGAAGCATTGCCAGAAAAAGTCATCTCCTGATGAATGTGGTCCATCCAATTCGTCGCTGCCTGCGGGTCGGATCGCGGTCTTGAAGCTCTCCATCAATCGCAACGTTCGTTCAAAGTCCTCGCTAGTTTCGTCCTCGAGGCCAGGTAAAAGGGCCAGAACAACTGATTTCATGGCTGGCCGAAGAGACCGGGGGTCTATGTCTAAAAAGTGGCGTTCAAGAATGTCGAGAAAGGGGGATCGGACGGATAGAGAGGCAAACGAAAGAGTCGACGCCAGGCCAGGGAAGTACAATGGTAAATCTTTGGATAGCCCATCAGTGCCTATGGTTGCGAATATGTAGCTGTAGACTTCGAGTGCTTTTTGGTGCACGCCGGACGGGAGGGAGGGGTTGAGACATTGCGACAGGCGTTTCGCGACGATGGCTTTCGAAGGGATAGTCGTGACCGACGGGTGTCGGGCTTGCAGTGCCTGATGAGTACGATCAGTCTCTCGTCGTTTTGGACATCGGTTCGCCATCGTGAAAAAGACTCTTACCTTGAGGAGGCGATTCAGGAAGGAAATGTAGTCAGCCCATTCCTGTAAGGCCGTTTCAAACAGAGTAAGGGCCCTTTCAACACCAGAGGCGTATTTGCGGTAATGCTTGTCCTTGGTCGGTGCTTCCTCTGTCACATTGAATCAATACATAAAGTCTTCCCAAATTCAAAGACAAATCGCTTACCAGCTCCGAGCTGGTTTCTCCATTGACGAGGAAGAGGAGACTCGCGGCCTGAGCTCTCTGGGGAGACAGACCGACGGCCAGAGCCAGGCTCAAGGGCCATGATTGCTGAGAATGGGCGTTGATTGAACGAGTGAGTACATCAGTCTGTTCTTATGGTCTTGTAAGGACGGTATCGCATCGCTGCCTAGCCTTGGAGAATCAAGCTGGCGTCGGTAGTCGTCGCATGCAGTGATCGTGAACAGGGTTTAAAGAGCCCAGTATTGCTTGAGCTCGAAAGGCTACCATGTCTCCTTCCAGACGACAGGTGTACAGTGGGGTGGCACCCTGACAGCTCCCAAGCTTCCCATTGGGCAGACTAGTTTAGCGACCGTTCTCGCCTGGCGAGGCTGGCACAACACTCTCCATCAACGCCGAGATAGGACAAAGCGCAACGTCATTGAGCATTGGATTTGGGGTGCACCTAGAAATTGTGGGCTGTATGCGTTCTGTCGCTTTTCCACCTTGATTGGACACTCCACCACTGAGCCTCACGATATGAGACACATCTTTCAGCACTAGAGCCAAAACACTTGATGGAAACTGGTATATTGCGCCCGGTCATATCAGTTACTAGGTAGTGTGCATGCATAATGATCTGGTCGACAGTATGGTTCAGTCCCTGCCTTCCTTGGCTTGGTTCTTGATCATTCTTGAGATTCCCCTGCATTTTTACCAAGTGCACACACAACCTCGTGCAGCAAACGGCATTACTTTTATCTAGATAATCAGCTGCCAGTGTATTGCATCTGCTGAAGTAAGCTGTCAAAGTCCGGAATGTTTTCTCCGGCAAGGGAGTTTCCGCTCGGCCATGGGATTTGCAAATTCCCATGTTGCTCCCTCCTCTGGGGGCATTTGGCCTAGCTCCGGTCCCAGGTCAGGCGAGCAAGTGGGCCGAGACAGGCTCTGATTAGCGGACCGTTCCCACTAAGGCACTTTACGAAGAGGCTGCCGCACCACTAGATCTCGGCGGCCCCTCCTACGCATCATCAGCAGGTCTGCGCTAACTTGGGACGATTTTCGTCCTTATCCCATCGGGTTCCTCTTTCGCTCCTCTTCCCGTGCCGTCTTTAAACCTCACGTTCTCAACTTACCAGCCTACCTTTACCCTAGGTGAGGTCTCGAATGCCAGTCATGGCCTCTTGAACCTGGTTGGCGACCCAAATTCCAGATAAAGTCAAGAATCTACTCTACTTCTAGGTAGTCTGCAACATCGCCGCGCTTCTTCCCACTTCCCGACCACCTAGCTGAAATGCTCCCGCCATCGCAATCATGGGCGAGGACCACGAAAACGGCCCCAGCGAGGAGCAACCTCCCCCTCTGCCTCCACGGCCGTCGATGGAATCGAACGACTCGATAGATTCGAGAATGGCCATGGCAGCCGCGACTACCGCCATTACACCTCTCGATATCCAGACCCTGTCTTTCCCAGATGGTTCGCGCGGCACTTTCTCGACCACAGGCAGCAGGGCCGTTTCAACCCCAGTACAGTCCTCGAGCGGACAAGCTACTCCAACGAGGACGCTGGGTGAGGGCGAAGATTCTATGAGTATCGCCAGCTTCTCCCCGACCCTGCGGCCGCCCAACGACATCGCAAGCCTATTGATGGGGGAGTTCAATAAGAGAAGTCCGGCATGGAACCTCCTCAGGTCGCAATCGGCAACTGTGCCACCCTTCGAAACCTTAAGGATGGATAACATAACCCGTAATCTGGCTGGGTTCGAGCACGAGTTCGACGGCCTACCCGACGAGGCCGACACGAGTTTCAAAGACGAAGATCGAGTCACCATGTGGAAGGCAAAGTTGAAGCACTACATGATCCTTTCATCGGCGGGCAAACCCATCTACAGTCGTCACGGAGACCTGGGGCTGATCAACTCGTCCATGGGTGTCATTCAAACCCTCATATCTTTTTATGAAGGGGCTAAGAACCCCTTGTCCGGCTTCACCGCTGGAACTACGCGATTTGTTGTTGCAACGCAAGGGCCCCTCTACTTCGTGGCCATCAGTCGGCTCGGCGAAAGTGACTCGCAGCTACGAGCGCAACTCGAGGCTCTGTACATGCAGATCCTGTCGACACTGACCTTGCCCACGCTGAAAAACATCTTTGTCCATCGACCATCGTCCGATCTTCGAAAACCACTCGAAGGAACTGAGCCCCTGATTTCGTCCCTTGCCGATAATTTCACGAAAGGCTCCCCATCAGCACTGCTTGGCGCCTTGGAGTGTCTCAAGCTGCGCAAGTCCCAGAGACATGCCATCAACAATGCCTTCCTCAAGCAGAGGACAGACAAGCTTCTGTACGGCTTGATTGTAGCCGGTGGTAAACTGGTCAGTGTTATTCGTCCGCGTCGCCACTCTCTGCACCCAAGCGACCTCCAACTCATTTTCAATATGCTATTCGAATCGGGTGGCATCAAAGCCGGCGGCGGAGAAAATTGGATTCCCCTGTGCTTGCCGGCCTTCAACAATCGCGGCTACCTGTACATGTACGTCAGCTTCTTCGACGGTGTCGACGGCGAGCAAGCCACGGGGCAAGAGGCGCCGGTACACAAGGATGAAGAACTCGCCATCATCCTCATCAGCCCGGACAAGGAGTCCTTCTTTGAGCTTAAGCAAATGCGTGATAACGTCGCGGCTTCTCTGGCCAAGTCGGGCCATCTCTCACTTATACAGACCGCGGCGCGTGCTGGACGGCCAAAAACCACAGACATTGCTCCTGGTGGTCAAATATCGCACTTCCTCTACAAGTCCCGTGCGAACGTGCAGTTCAGCATGTCCGCCCTCGACCCCGTATTCTCCTCCCTGATGGCCCGTCGCCGCCTCATGGGCCTATATCATCAACTGCACGCTGCCGTCCACGCGAAACACTCCCATATGCGTGTTCTACATTCCGTCTCCGAGGATGCTACTTCTTTAGCCTGGATTACACCAATATTCGAATTTTACTGCGTAGCCGGCCCCAACGTGAGCCGTGCCGTACTTACCCAAGGCGCCAACAAAGTTATCCAGTGGGCCCGTCGCGAGGAGGAACGGGTCTTCATTATTGGCGGAGGCGTATTCTGATCCAGAGAGAAACGAGTTGACCCCTTGAATATTCGGGTACGGCTCATGCGCTTGGACTGATTAGCTATTAGCTATTAGGAATTACAGGAGCTGACCCTCAGTGGCCATGCTGACTGAGAGAGAAAGATTCTCTCGACAAGCTACTTGGGTATCAATACAAAGATGACTCTGCAGTCAAAGCCATCTATATCGTGGTCCACCACGCCTCTGGGATCTTTGTGAGCCGAACAGTCGCCAGCGTCGAACGTGATTCACACTCCGCCACCGCTGTGATATCAGCCTCGATTCGATCCATGCCCTTCCTGTCCGAGTCCGCTTCCAACTTTTTTCCACAAGAGCCGCTCGATGACTCCCTGCCCATGACAGCAGCAGCAGCAGCAGCAGAACCCAACTCTCTATCCTCTTGCCACTCCGCCAGCTCAACCGCAAACCCCAACTCATCGCCACAGATCCGACACCTCGCCCTCCCCTTCCCCTTCCCCTTCCTGTCCTCCTTCTCCCTGCCCTTCCCGCCGAATAGCCGACGCAGCAAATCGACCGACCGCGCCGCGAACCCGGCCATCTTCCTCCTCCGGCGTCCACGCTTCTGGCGACACCCACCGCTCTGGTGGCACCACGGCACCTTGGGCAGCACCAGGAGCTCCTCCTTCTCAGCCTCTTTCTTTTCCTTCTTCGCCTTCCTCTCTTCTTTGCCCTTCTTCAGCTCGGGCGGGAACACGCCAACGGGATCAATCGGCGTCGGAGGCGAACGCCGAGGAGCCTCGGGTTGAAGAAAGATACCGGGAGCATCGTGGCCTCCATTCCTACTGCCCCCTCGTCGCCCATTCATCCATCGAGCGTCGCCGCCCCACGGACTACCAGACAACAACGCCACGGAGTCTCTCTTCTTCCTCTTCTTGTTCATCTTCTTCTGCTGCTTCTCCACCTCCTTCTGCCGAATCTCCTTCTCCTTCTTACGCTTCTCCGTCTCCATCTCCTCGGCCTTCTTCTTCTCCTCCTCGGAGGGCGCGGTACTGCTCTCCCCCTCCTCATCAAACTCCCTCACCAACTTGCGGACCGTCATCATCACCTCGGTCCGCTCTTCACCACCACCGCCCGACTCGGACGAGTAAACCGACGACAATGACTGCGGTGACACAGACAAAGACGTCTTGTCATCGAGAGGGTCACCCGCGTCGGCAATATCCGCCATGACGCTATCCTTGCGCTCTATGGTGTCATCCGCATCCACGCCATTGCCGGCGCGACGATCCTTGACGATGTACTTTGGTTTATATTCCAGGTGGAAGAGTTGGTCCCCGTCAAGACAAGTATGGTGCCCCGCCGCGGAAGACGAACGCGACGACGAGAGGTGTTGAGTCGGATTCTCGAAGAAGGAAGGATGTTGGATGACCAGCGGGAGACGGTCTAGAGGTGACCTGAGGTCCTTCATCTCTGACAGGGAGGAGATCATTGTCGGGCTTTTTTTGGGATTGTTTTGTTGGAGTCAGAGAAGGGGAATGATAATGTCAATGGAATGGTTTTTCTGGGCTACGCTCCGAGTCCGGTCGGCGAGGCTTGATGGAGCTTGGTAGTGATATTTCCCGTAGAACCGTCGGAGGAGCTGATGTTTAAGGCTGATTCAGCTACAGCTGGATGTTGATGTAGCTATATGTGGAGCCGAGGAAGCTGTCGATAGGAGTTGGATAGTAAAGCCGATGATGAAGCTATTGACGAAGTTACCGATATGCCCGATGGTGAGGCTGATGTAGCTACAGGTATAGCTAGGTGTAGCTATTGGTGAAACGAATGGCAATGCGTAGCGAATGTTCAAGTCTAGAGACGACTTTTCGATTTGTATCACGATAGTTTCTAACGAGTGTCGGTTGAACGAGCGGTATGGTGGAGGACCTTAACGAATGTGCGATGGTCGCGTGGACAGTATGTACCGAGGAAACCTTCACATCAATAGATTCCCGTGGGGATAGCTCGGTTTTGTGATGGCCGGGCATGAAGCCATGAGAACCTTCATGGTCAATCAGCCCCTCCGTCATGTATCCCGAACATGGCCATACATGATACGGTAAGGTCAGCATCATGATGCAAGCCCTCCAATTCTCGCTTAGCGCCTCCTAATCACAACGAAATGTGTTAAATCATATTGCATTTTATTCATTCTGTGAACCTGACCCTGATCTGGTCAAGCCACTTCACGATATCTCGTTCTCAACAAACCCGCCATCACCTATTACGTCCCAACCAACCGCACGTATCATCTACTCTAGCCCGGGTCCATCACTTCGCTCATACCCCTCCAAAAAACAGCTATAAGTCTTTTTCCCAAAGAGTTGATGTTCTTGAGAATCAAAAGCAAGAAACGCACCCAATGACGATAATAATGACTCCAACATTTTCTCCTTGACAGTTAAGAACTGAATTCGCTTTCGTTTCGCCGGCCCTTGACACAGATGGAGACAGCTTGCCGGACCCATCTCTTCATCTTCCTTCGTACTTGCTTCGAATGACCCGGGGTGGCCGTGGCCCATTCACTATGTACAACTGTCGCGTCAGAGTTCTTCGAGCCGGCCAGACCGGTTGGTTGGGGTCGCCTGCCAATGTGCTTGTTTGCACGCTCTCGAAGGTTAAAACATGATTTGGTGATGCGAAGTCTGAGATTCGACAGCTTTTTCTTGAGGATCCTCGGCCGGAAAAAAGTCAAATCAGAGCTGAAGCTTCGAGAATCGCTGAGGTCAAATCCATCAGTGGACGCACTCAACCTATAGAGGTTCGTGTCAACTGGGTGCGCCAGAGGGATGTCACGTTCATGCAGGTGCCCATCTCTGGAGTACCTTGCTGTTGGAGAGACACGGGCCGGTAGATTTTCCCCATCACTTGGTGTGAGCTGTACATATCGTCTTCCTTTTCGCCGGTAAGCCATGCTGCCTTGACGTTCCTCATGGAGCACTGGGGTGAAAAAGTCCTTGGCTTGGTGAGCCGGTAAGTCGGCAAGTATGCTCTGTTTGACACTGGAGCGACGTCTGACTGTGCCGGTCTGGTCTTCCGGGATTGTTTCCACATCCAAGGCCAGTCGAGACGCTTTGAGTCGAAGTTTTCGCTTCGATGGGCTTGGAACCACAGTCACCTTCATTTTCGGACTCGGTGCATCATGATCCGCCGGTTTGTGCTCTCTTTTGGGTTGGATGACTTCGAGCTCAATGCTAGCTCGGAAAGACTCATGGTCTTCCACATCGGAATGTGCAGTAATTCTAGGACTCGACCGTGGAGTTGCAAGGATTTCGAGCTGAAAGGGTGAAAACTTGACTGGAAATCGCAAATCGTCCCCAGATGCCCCTGACACTCGCCTCAGTTGAGCTTGCGCTTCCTTGGGGAGGGAGGGCAATGCCTTCATCAAGTGCGGGACACTGCTGCTTGTACTCAAGAAACGGTTCGTAGGACTTGGCGTCGAGGAGAGGAGAAGATTGTCCGCTTTGGAGGCTGGTGGCGCTGTATGACTTCGGAGACTTGCTGTGCTGATTCGAGCAAGCGCTCGGTTCCTGCGATGGCCTCTGAAGAAAGGCCTCCACTGAAGGTCAGGATGGGTTGCGCCATTTGCGGCAGACTCATTCACCATATTTTCCCCCTCCAGGGGGTGATGATGCTCCATTTCAGCTTTGAGATCTTTCGGCTCATCTACATCGACCTCGTGAAGTCCAGTCGAGTCTTCATCCTTGCTCATGAACGGTGACTTGGCAATACGCTCGAATGACGAGACCAATGCCGCAAGGTCGGATAGGCCAGGTTCAACCGAATGGCGTAAACTCGAGCGGAGAAGCGCCGCGAGGCCACTGTGAGACGGGGCTCTTCTGGATAGCCAATCCCGATTCAACAGCTCTAGTTGCAACGTACTGGGTTCGTTGGGGCCTGGGATGGTTTCGTCCGCACTCTTGAAATGGGATTCAGACAGTGCCTCCGTTGCATGTTCCACAGCGGGATGGGAAGCATCAGCGTCCGCTTTCGTTGTGTGGCCTTCATTCCCTTGCTCATGGCCTCGAGACGGATTAGCATAGCCTTCCGCATTTTCTTCATCGTCGATTTCGTTACGTCCGATGTTTTGAGGCTTTGGAGTCGTTTGAGATCGCTGGAAAGCCGCAGTATCGACGGTCTGTGAACAAGGTACAAACATGTTCAAATCGTTATCAACGTCGACAGGACGAGAAGCCGATGTCCCATCAACTTCGAACGGAAATTGTTCCAGCGTCGGAGGGGCGGTTCTAGAGCTCAAGCGCTGTGAAGGTAACGTTTCGATGTCATTGGCAGGTTTCTTGTCCAAGGCTCGACAGTCATCACCGGACGAATCGCTAGAGTCCTTCACAGATATGTCGATGACAGCATCCAGACGAGCCTTCGTTTCGTCTCGAAGCACTAAGGCTCTGATAAGGCTCGATGCTCGCTGAGGAATCGGAGCTAAAGGCAGCGCCAAGGTAGAATCCCGAGGATCTGTTTGGCGTTCCGGGGTTTCAAAAGCTTCGGTGTAGTCGTAGTAGAAAGATCCTGCGGGGCGAATTGTGCGTGACAGATTGGGTTCCGAGTTTGAGGGTGATCTGTAGTACATCTCAATGACCGAAGTCAGGCTTGAGGATCTCGCACTATGATCCGTGGATGGTCGTCGTGGTCTGCTCGCAAGCTCGTTACCCCACGGGTTATGGTACCCACGATACCCAAGAGCGGATCCAGTGGGCGACACGAAAGAGCTGGAATGCGGTAGAGACGGCATGGATTGGTTGATGCCGCCGCGAAACGCATTGGGAGGGCCAAATCGTTGCGGTTGTGGAAAGGTTGGCTTATACGAGCCATGCACAGTCCTCTGATAACTAATGAGCTCCTGTTACGCTACGCTTTGTGGAGGGCCATGAGTGCTTACATATGAGATTCGATCTATTTCGACCATCCTACTGTAGTCAACAAGTCCATTCTCCGTAAGAGCCGGCGAAGATGGCCGAACGCCAGGGCGTTTCAGTCGAGTTGGGTAGGGAAACGGGGAGCGTGGTCGTTGCAAGATGCCGCTGCTCGAATGGCTTTGGAGAGTACCAGATGACTTGTTACTGGACAATTTCCGAGAACCACATGTGGTCAGGGAGTACGAACGCTGGTACGGCCCATCGATTTTGGGGGAGAATGAGCTGGAGAAGGAGGACGGAGGGCCTTCTGAGCCATACATGGAGATGATTTCTGAATTGGTGTCTCTGTCCGAGCTGTTCCATCGGCGGCCGGCTCCAGAGATGGTACGATGGCTGGCACGAGACTCAGATCTGAAGATTGTGTTAACATCGAGTCCGGTCCGTGATCTTGCGCATTGGTGTGTTGTAGCCGCTGGAGCTATTGGCTTGATGCTGAAGATGCCTATGTCGCCTGTTTCCGTTGTGGTCTTGAGCATGCTCTCAAGAGGACCGGGCGACGGAAGTAAACTAGCATTCTCGTTCACGCTTCTCAACGGTCGACGCGGCAGACCATATCCAATGGGTGGTCGAGCATGGGACTTGTAGCTGCTGCGAAGCGAGCCATGGCTGGCGGAGCGACGTTGAGCGTGAATGTTCTCCATTCGGAGAGACTTTGACCAGGTCGTGGCACGGGTAGATGGTAAAATGAAGTATCTCTACTTAACAGACACAGCAAAATCGTCGGTCACTGAAAGAGAGATCCTAAAGAGTCGACATGAAGCTATGTTGAGGCCGGCAGGCTGGCATGTTTGGGCATTGTGTCGAGCAAACATTTTTGGCAGAGTCGGCAGCGGAGTGGACGTCAGTTGACCTTGACTCCTTTGCGAAGTCAAAATAGGAAGGGACGACGATGCCGTCAACGCAGGTATGCTCATCTGGTTCGCCATCGCAAGAGAGCACCTACCTCGCGATGATTTGAACCCACAAGGAAGGCACTCCTCCAAGTACGTCCCTCATCTTGTCTTATAGGGAGCCTCCTTCCCCAGTCTTATTTGTATGGAGGAGGAGAAGGCCTTTGCTTAAAACTGCAACGTGAAAAGTCGCGTTCTCAGAGGATTCGGCTCAAATTTAGACATGATCGTGGCTAGCGAGATGAGATGTTGAAAGGGAAGGCGATTCAGCCTGCTATTCGAGTCCATCTGGAACCATAGACCTTCTCTTGCCAGTCCTGCAAGCAAACCTACCTTCTAGTTGAGGCCGGCAAAAGTAAGAAGACAGAACTAAACCTAGAAGCTTACATTAGACATTCATCGTCATGTGCCATCCGTGCACAATGTGTACTGCGTAGATGAAGTTTCCAGGCCTGAGGACGACAGAGAAACGACCATACAGGCTTTGGACTGTCTATTTGTAGATTGTACGCATCTAAACTCATGAAAATCGAAGGGGTGATGAACAGTTGAGTCGCTGAACCTGGCAATTTTGAGGGCACGATGACTTGATTAAGGTAGGCTTGCCCTGTAGTGGCACTTGCCTGTTTAGGTAATCATCTTGAGGATCAGTAGGTTCATGTGGTGAGCAATTTCCTGGGCGAAATTCGACAGACCGATGCGAATAGAACACTATGCTCATGTTCTTTGCTGGGTAAGGTAGATAAATGACATCTGTCCTTTTCGCTTTTCAGCCTCATTGATCGTTGAACGAATCAGTGACGCGACAAATAGTTCGCGAGACAATATACGGAAATTGGAATACGATGCCGACGACGGCGCTCCAGCCAGCATGTGTCTTGTCTAACCATTTACTTAGCACAAACCATGAGACGGATTCTTAAAGCTTCTTCGACAAAACCCCACTCGCGGCGGAGCGGCCGGGTCGGAGGCAAAGATGAGATGGAGAGTTTGGGGCGACACGGAGCATGTCAGCCGCTGCGCTGTTCGGGACACGGTTCCACTTTGTAGGCGGCGAAGCAAAGGGGCAGGACGGAGTAGCATTCTGGGAGTTCTTCCGTAGAGGCGAAATAACGAAATGCGTTTGCCGATGTGAGTGTTCCTGTTCGAGTTCATGGGTTTCCAAGTGCCTATCTCTTCTTCTGAATAGATATGCCGTTGCTTGAAAGTGTTGCCGTGGTTGCCGGCAACGCCCAACTCAAACCCCACAGCAAGTCCAGATGCAGTATCGCAGGTGCGATTATGGTTTGCGTCGATAATTTCCATGTTGGACCCTGGAAATGAGGCTGGGAGGTTTGACCACGGTATCCAGTAGAGCAGCGTGTGTCGTGAGCAATAATGGGTGGCTGGAGCTTCTCGCAGCAGCCACCTCCACTCTTTTGTCGGACTGCGAGTCGAAGCACCAAATAAGAAGCTGCCGAAACTGGCCAGATCTGGTTTAGTGATCCGCTCCACGGTAGCATTGCCGATGGATCTCGAGCCGGCAGGGCAGCTTGGCGGGTGGTGGAGACGTTAGAATCCCACGACCAGATCCAATGGCAAGAGGGTGATCCTTGTGCTGGAACGGACAAGCTTGCAACCCCAAATGTACCGAAGAGCTTGTTGTAACTTGTACACGGCAAAACGTGGAAATGTGTCCTTTGGGACGTTAGGAAACCTTGCCGCCCTCCAAGACATACGGACCCCATTGTTGGCTGTGTCTGCGTTGCATTCCTTTCGCCATAGAGGAAGGACCAAGAGACACAAACGGGAAAGGAATGAGACCACCACCACCACCACCACATACTTCCGTCGCAATTGAACCAACCCGAGCCTGGCGCGCACTGAGCTGGTCCGGGCTGGAACTGGGAGGACATGGGATGGAGGTCGTAGAGAAGACGTGTCTGGCCTGCCTCAAGGTCCATGGTGCCTGTGCCATCGCCAGTGCTTGTGCCATGTTGAAAGCCATTCCTCCATCAACGATGTCCTATCTGTCTCAGACCCGCCCAGGCATAAGGTGGAACGCAAGGAAAGGGGGGCTGTCATAGACAATGACCTCCGAGCGCATTTGCCCCCCGGCTTGAGGCTCTCAGCCTCGGAAGACTGCTGACAATCGGATCGTGGAGCTCTAGCAACTTCTTCATGCACTGGCGGAGACTTGAGAGGGGACTTTGGTGTAGGCAGAAATAAGCGTAATGCCAATGTAGAAGGCCCAGGTACACAACGATGGCAAACTGAGCTTACGGGTACTCTCCACGGCAAAAAAGGATAGCCGTTCCTACCTTAGCTCAGCTTCACTTTCAAACCGCCGCTGGTCAGCCTGGCTTGATTATCAATTCACCGTAAGTTGGTGTTCCTAGCGGTCGAACGGTGGGGGGAGTGCCTGGAAGGGAGGGGAGTGAAAGCGAGTTTGCCCCTCACAACCGCAAGGTACCTTGGGAGGCACGGGCTCGCCTGTGGATTGGGGTAAGTATACTCTTGGCCGGCTAATGTACTTCTCCTGCATGATTACGGTTGAAAAGACTTACAGGAACTTAGCCCAAAAAGAGGAGAGGGGCGTTCCCCCATCCACTCATCCACCACAGACACTGCAGCCGCCTGAGTGAATGCATGAGCTGACGGGCGGTTCCTGGAAAAAGGGACACCTGTTCTCAATTGCCCTTTAGAAATCCGGAATCTTTCTCCAGAACCTCTTCCACCCTCTACTTAAGACCAAAGCCTTCCCCATTCACTCCGGTCTGAAGTTAGACTTGACAGCCTCGCCTTCTCCACGAGTGTACTTTTTTCTTTCTTTCTTCACTGTTCATTCTTCAGATCAAAGAAAGGTAAGCTTCCTCTCAACATTCTACTCACTCCCCAAGCTATCACCAAGCTTCATCGAGCGCATGAGGTAGCAACAGACGGTCGCCACCACCGCAAAATCTACACAGCTCTGCCTCTTCTGAAGCTGGACAGAGGCCCCAATCCTTCTTTCTACGATTTGTCTACCATCAAGACTCTCCGCAATAGCATCACCAATCGCTCGTACCAAAGCTAACATTTCTCCTACTCGCAAGATCAAGATGTTCTGCAAGCGTGTTGCCCTTGGCCTTTTGGCCGCCGCTGCTGCGGTTTCCGCCTCCGATGTTGCCCAGTTGAAGAAGGATGACTTCGCCGACTTCATCAAGACCAACGACCTCGTCCTCGCTGAGTGTGAGTCCCCCCCCCCCCCCCCCCCCCCCCCCCCCCCCCCCCCCACTCACAGAAACAACACTCGTCCGCCCTCCCTACTCCCCCCCCTCGGCGCCTCCCACCCCCCCCCACCCCCCCCCCACCGCCCTGGGGCCCCCCCCCCCCCCCCAAATTGCCTAGCTACCCTCGAGTCGAATAAATACTGATCGTGGACGTCCAGTCTTCGCTCCCTGGTGCGGTCACTGCAAGGCTCTCGCTCCCGAGTACGAGGAGGCTGCCACCTCCCTTAAGGAGAAGAACATCAAGCTTGTCAAGGTCGACTGCACTGAGGAGTCCGATCTCTGCCAGGAGTACGGCGTTGAGGGCTACCCCACCCTCAAGGTCTTCCGCGGCCCCGACAACGTATCTCCCTACTCTGGCCAGCGCAAGGCTGCTGCCATCACCTCCTACATGGTGAAGCAGTCCCTGCCCGCCGTCTCCATCCTCACCAAGGACACCCTTGAGGAGTTCAAGACCGCCGACAAGGTCGTTCTCGTCGCCTACATCGACGCCGCTGACAAGGCCTCCAACGAGACCTTCACCAAGGTCGCCGAGAAGCTCCGCGACACCTACCTCTTCGGTGGCGTCAACGACGCCGCTGTTGCTGAGGCTGAGGGCATCAAGGCCCCTGCCATCGTCCTCTACAAGTCTTTCGATGAGGGCAAGGCCACCTTCACTGAGAAGTTCGACGCTGAGGCCATTGAGACCTTTGCCCAGACCGCCGCCACTCCCTTGATCGGTGAGGTCGGCCCCGAGACCTACTCCGGCTACATGTCCGCTGGCCTTCCCCTCGCCTACATCTTCGCCGAGACCCCCGAGGAGCGTGAGGAGCTTGGCGCTGCCCTGAAGCCCATCGCTGAGAAGTACCGCGGCAAGATCAACTTCGCTACCATCGACGCCAAGGCGTTCGGTGCTCACGCCGGCAACCTCAACCTCGCCACCGACAAGTTCCCCTCTTTCGCCATCCAGGAGACCGTCAAGAACCAGAAGTTCCCCTTTGACCAGGAGAAGAAGATCACCCACGATGAGATCGCCAAGTTCGTTGAGGAGTTCTCTTCCGGCAAGATGGAGCCCAGCATCAAGTCCGAGCCCATCCCTGAGTCCAACGACGGCCCCGTCACTGTCGTTGTCGCCAAGAACTACGAGCAGGTTGTCCTTGATGACAAGAAGGATGTCCTGATTGAGTTCTACGCCCCCTGGTGTGGTCACTGCAAGGCTCTGGCCCCCAAGTACGAGGAGCTTGGTGAGCTGTACCAGAAGTCTGAGTTCAAGGACAAGGTCGTCATCGCCAAGGTTGACGCTACTGCCAACGACGTTCCCGATGAGATCCAGGGATTCCCCACCATCAAGCTCTACCCCGCAGGCAACAAGGATGCTGCCGTCACCTACTCCGGCTCCCGCTCCATTGAGGACCTCATCGAGTTCGTCAAGGAGAACGGCAAGTACAAGGCCGAGGTCTCTGTCAAGGAGGAGGGCGCCGAGGAGAGCCAGGCCGCCCCTGCTGCCACCGAGAAGGAGGCTGAGAAGGCCAAGGAGACCGAGAAGGCCAAGGAGGATGCTCACGACGAGTTGTAAAAGAATTCTGGGTTCACTACGAAATGACACTTTGGGACGTCCCATGGGATAGGGACTATATACCTCTTGCGCGTTAGGTCGACTCTTTGCATTATGGTCTGCGGGTAAATTAACGTTATGAAATTCGAGCACATGTCTAAACTTCTTATTTCTACTGCGTGAATCGTGACCTGAAGCCTTGGTAACTCTACTTGGCTTTTGACGGTTCCATGAATTAATCTATTGTCTGTTGACTTGGCCTGGGGAACCACAGAGCAACACGACCTAAGGACCGTGAGGCGCGCATTACACCGACCTTACAATGGCTAAAAGGTAGTCTTATACCAAGAATTCCGCCCTACTCCCTGGATGTCCTGGTTTACAGGCTCCTCAGCATAGCCTTCTTTTACGCCGCAACTTCCGATACTATTTTGCCCTTGGCCTTCACAGGAATGTCTCATTCCAGCAAGACTCGATCGTTCTCGTTCATTACACACAGAAGTCCCCTTCTGGAAGATTTGCCTTATCAATGGCTGCAGTAAGATTGACGTCCCTTGACAATTGAGGTGATAGCCGTCACCAAGAGGCAATGGTTCAAATGTCCAGCGAAAAGTCACTCGCTCCACCGAGCTTCCTCGCCCTTTGCTCGGCAGTGTGTTGAGGCGTGGTATTGGCCATAGATTGACAGGGGTTAGGTTGTGCGAAATGGAGACTTTGAGCCGTAGTGAACATACTGCTACCAAAGATTCTCCGTGTGCCAGTCTTTTATGCTGATCGTGGTGAAGCATCACAAGAGCTCCGGGGAGAAGGGAAAGGACGTGTGCCTTGGAGGGTTGGAGTAGCGTTTTCGCTACGCCTTTTTGCCTTTCTTGAAGACGAGCCACGTTGGAGGCATATGGTCTAGATGCGAAGCGGTAGCGGCTCTTGAGGTGTCGTACACACACTCTGGTCGTTTCATAACGTCAATCTGTAGCTCATTGAATCGATGTGTTAGCCTCCAAGTATCTTAATGTGATGCGCATATGCTCTCTGTATATCTGCGTTTAGATGATCCGGGGCCACACAGGAAGCTTTTCTTACCCTCTTAGCTTTTGACTCTGGTATGCTTACAAGTTTAGAGCAGCTAATCACACTCGTTACCGTCCATTTGGTTTGCTGCGGACGTACGTACTCGAGATCATAGAGTGAGGCAGAGGGATACGGTAAATTAGATTATCAGGTATTCTCTGCGTGAGCTTTCATTAAGGTGCTTCAAGTCGTATTCGCTTCGCCAATTTTTCCATGTGAAACCCAGACAACGTGAAAGTCAAGATATGGATACGAGAGAGCAGGGCAGAAAGGAGTGGAACTACAGGTCTTATGCTTCAAGCTGCGCCAGCCCGTCACGATTCAAGTGTCGGGTTACTCACGAATACCAATCCACATTAAGATTCGAATGGCGCAAGTTCAATGAGAGATGGCAGGGTGAGTGTTCAATGCTGTTCGTCATTGTTGGAACATCAAGATTGATTTCAAAGAAGAAGGAAGAATGGAAGACAATTGCTCATCGTATTTATTTGAGGGAGGGCATCTGAACACACTGGGCCAGAGCCTTATATCCGAAGGCGGTAGACTTGAAGTCGAGATGAGCTATTAACATCATGGAAAGGTCGCTCCTTGACATGGCCATTCTCAGATTCTCGGCTGCCGTCAGCTCGGGTGGCTGTCTCGGTTGTACCTTGAGCTTGAGCGAGCGGCTTGGTGAACACGACCCCGACTGTAAAGAGAAGTCACTCTCAGGGGACACGTTTAGACACGTACTTGCAGAAACTCCCACGCCCTACAAGCATATTGTTACAGTCTTTGATATACACGAGCTCCTCGACCTCGATCTCCACGGCATGTTTCGTAAACCATACCACTGAATCGAAGGAACCTCACGCAGGAAAGAGTAAGAAATCGGACGTTGTTTGGAATATTCCGGTCGTAACCATTGTGCTGTGCTGCTTTTTTTGTGCTGACTTCGCCTCGAAAAACCTCACCGTTCCATTACCACGGCGTCCCCCTCTGCATCTCGCGTCCTCGTTACACTCACGTCCTCCTTGCCCCCCTTTAAACGCTGCGATATCTCGTTTACTTCCTCTTGCGCTCGATGGCGTCCATCTTCTCTTCCAATACCTCGACGTACTTGGTCACGCGCTGAACGGCGGCCTGGAGTGCCTGAAGTAATCCAGTCTGGTTAGCTCATTGATTGTGGAATCATGTAGGGTCTGCAGTAGCGATGATTGGCATTGTTGGGACTTTGAGAGAGCAGGAGAAGCGAGGATGGTCGCGCCGCGTTGTAGCGAGACCACACCGGGGAGCGTTCCGGTGCAGCGCACAAGACAGTCAATGACGCCACAACCAGCACTGCTAAGGATGTAGGAGAGGACAGGTTGATTGATGCGAAAAGCCTTGAGGGGTAGGCAAGAAGGTAGATAGTGAGATGTAATGACGCACGTAAATGTCCTCTGTCAGGAGCTCGTTGGAGGTCTTGTATTCTTGGAGGATGTAGGAGTATACACCGGCGCCGGCGAGGGAGCTGCCGAGGAAGAAACCGAACAGACTATTTGAGGTTTGATTCGTTAGCAAAGACATCATCATCTCTCTCCATATGGTCATGAAGTGGTGGCCGGCATCCTAAAACCCTCACGAGACCTAATTGGCCTCGTGGACGAGATGCAGGACAGCTGCCTCCGGAGCAGAGAAGCTCAAGACATACCCTCCACGGAAAGCACCGACGGGTTTCCGGGCCGGCAGGGGCGCGGCGACGGCGTCGCGCAGGGGAGATGAGGTCTGGAAGTTGCGGGCGGCGCGGAGAGGGAGGCCGGAGGCGCGGGGGAGGGCGCGGGTGACGATGCGGGAGGCCATTGTGGTTTTCGGGTGATGTCGTGCGTGGAGCTCGGTTAAAGAGGGAGGATGGTTGCTCTGTCGGCGGGAGGAATGGAAGGCGACCCGGTCGGAATTGGACGCGGAGTGTGGAAATGAGGAGGGGAGGGAGCTCGGTCGGCTTGCGCGTTGGTGATGTTGTGTTTTGTGGTGGTGGTGGTAGAAGTTATGGGGTTTGGAGATGGCGTAGACCAGGTTCGATGAGGTCGGTCGGGTCGGTGCTTTGGGGGCGAGGTGCGGTTAACTTGGGCGGGAACGTGGAAGCTCTGTCCCAGCCGTGTTACGTCGTTTACCTCTCTACGGCGGCGCTGCGGCGCTGCACGGCTGCAGTGAGGTACTTCAGTCAGGTACCGCCTCCGCCTGCGCCGGACCAGCGAGAGCACAGAGGGCGGGATTAGCCGGGACGCCATTAAGAGTATCCTATTGGCCAGAATGGCGCGGTCGACCAGCCGGCTTTTGCTGGGGATTGTCTGGGACTCTGGGGAGTGGCTTCATGATCCACTGAAGGGGGTTCGGGAATGCGGCTCATGGGCGCATTCGGCACTTGTCGGCTTCTGAGCGTATGAAAACTTGTCACGGCGTTAGAATCCTTTTCAAAGTTGGTTGAATTATTAATTTGTTACTCATTGTGTACCTGAGTGTCAATTGCTTGAATATAAATAACGTATTAGTTACCGAGGTCTCAACCTACAACCTGGGGAAGCTCTCCGCTAGGTGCTCGTCTGTAACCAACACATTCTCATTGGCCAATAATTAGCCACTCAACGTCGTCTCTTCTGATTCGCTACAAAAAAGTTCAGGCGCAGAGACTCCAGAACCCAGAGAGCTCCAAGTCAAACCACCACACTCCTCCACCCTCTCCAAAAACCCTGCCGTAACATCTCCAACCTCGAAATGAATAATTTTGGTGTCTACGAGCTCGCCAGCAGCAAAGTCACAAACGCCCCGGGATGGGCTTACGTTCCCGATACAGGCCTTAACCCGGCCGCCGCCGCCCTCCAGCCCGCGAACCGTAAGCGCGCCGCTCGAAGCAAGGCGAACCCAACCGCCTCAGACCTCACCGTCCGCCAAGAAGCCAAGATCCGCAAGGAACTCGAGCAGCTGGACCGCGACGGTGGTCGTGATGCCTCGATACCCATCCCGGCCAAGGCCTCGAGAGGTACGTCTGTCCCCATCACCCCATGCCTCCCACTACGCTGTAGGGCGCGGACGTAGTGAAGCGCAAAGCGACAGCCAAACTAACGACGATTTAACGGAATCACAGGCCAGAACAAGAGCACGCCAGCAATTCGCAAAATCCTCCAGTCCCAAAAGACCTTCCACAACCACTGCGACGACCACCTCGCCCTCCTCTCGCACGCCGGAAACACGCCCGCGCCGCACCTGAACCAGCACACAGCCAAACCGGCCAACAAACCGCCCCATCCGAACCAGCACACCAAGCGCAACGCCGCCAAGCGCTCCAAGACATCGACGCCAAAGACGCCAGCGGAACCGGAAGACGTCGAGATGACGCCCGCGCCGGCAGCAGAAGCGCAAGAGGACTCGGCGACGGCGACAGACCCGGTGCTGAAGCCCTACGATAAACCGGGACCGGCGCCGCATCCTGGCGACGATGATCCGCTGCTCGTGTCGCGGGTGCCTGCGATGCCGACGGACGAGGAGCTCAAGTGGCTGCTTTCGCGGCCGATGCTGAGTTTCTGGGACGCGAGGGCCGAGTGGGGCGACGACGATACGCGGTATCCCGAGCGGAGTTTCTGCGAGGTGTGCGGGTATTGGGGCCGGGTGAAGTGTATGAAGTGCGGGACGAGGGTTTGCGCTTTGGATTGTCTTGAGACGCATCGGGAGGAGTGTTTTACGAGGTACGGCATTTGAGAGCATCAAGGACTTGTTGGCTGTTTTAGCAAAGCTTGCTGGTGAATATGCCGCTGTCGTTGACACCTTGCGATTATATTTTGGATATGGGATAAGCATGGACGGTGAACGGTTAGGCGTTATGATACCCCCCTTTTGTCAAGTTTGTTTTACAAGGATGGAAAAAGATGATTTGAATTGGATGGCTTTGATCGCCAACGGGTCTGGATTCAAGACAAACGTCCCCTATGAGGAATTTGTACAGATGCGAATGTGTTTGTTACAAGCGCGTTGTATATATATATACGGTTGAAGATGTTGCCCTTGAAAAAGGGCAGACAAACTCCGATCCCAGAACCCTGTTCATCAAAATCATGAAGCCACGGCACAGAAGATGCCCGCAGCAAGAAAGAAAAAACGAGGCATATCAACTGATAGAAACAGCCTCTGTGAGAAGAAAGTAAGGAGAAAAGAGAGAGAGATAACACATCAGACACGACCAAAGCATCCCCTCATCCACCGCCCAGAACAACGCAAAAGCTGAAGCGCACATTCGAAGTTTTCTCTTACAAGTCGTCCATGCTGAACGAGTTCTTGAGCGTAAACTCCACGTCGCCGACCGTCGCGCCGCCGGCGCACACTGCGCGGAGGCTGCCGGTTGGGCACTTGTCGCGAGCGGCGCGGACGCACTGCTCCCACTTTGTCTTTGAGATGGTGATCTGCGCGCCCTCGACGGTAGTCTTGAGGCTGAAGCGGGCGGAGCCGGCTTGGCCGACGGTGGTGGAGGGGTTTCCGTGGCAGGCGTCGACGGAGCCCGAAATACCGCCGCAGATGGCGAGTTCTGCTGCATTTTGGTCATGGAAGACGATGTGACTGAGCGTGGTGTTAGTCAAAAAGTTTCTTTCGTAGTTTGAAGTTGATGGGTGAAAGGTGCTTGATGTGTTTTCGGTGGAAGAGAGGAGAGGATGTAGTGGAAAGGGTTCTTGTGTAAGTCAGATTGGAAGGAAACGTACGCGTTGCGGTCGACGCAGGTGGCTTCCACCATGGCGGCCGGGTTCACGGGCTCCTGCATGCGCATGCTGAGGACCTCAAAGTGCTGCTGGGGCACGGTGAAGCGGGGCCAGTTGTGTCTTCCGGCCGGGGCGGCGAGGGCCGCGGTGGCTGTGAGGAGGAGGACAAAGGTCTGGATGAGCGTGGAGAACATGGTTGCGGTTGTTGCGAGTAGGTAGTTTGATAGGATGAGTGAGAGAGGATTTTGGTGTAAGTGAAATTTGGAGGTTTTGATCGCTTTCAGTCGTGGATATGGGATGACTGGAAGAAGAGTTTCGTTTCGGAGAGTTCGTTTTATTTGAGGGATGAGTAGATCGATACGTTGTAGGTTGAGAGTGATCTTTGGGGTAGTATTGGCAAGTCGATCGTGAGATATCTCGGGTGAGTTCGGTTTGTAAGTTTTGGTGTGTTTGGTCGTCGAGACGAGGTTTGGTTTAGAACGGAGCAAAGAGGGCTTCTTGGAAGAAAGAATGGAACAGATCACAGATCATCAAAGGTTGAAGAAAAAGAAGGAAAGTGACTGTCAACAGACTGTCTGGATTGTTTCTTTCGAAACGAATGTGGAAAGAGAAACAAGTTTCGAACAAGTCAAGCTGAAGGAGGAGGAGAAGTAGGAAAAGAGTAGGGAGGACGAGCAAGCCACTAAGTAGGTTTCGCAAGCCGCCATATTCACAACCCAGAAATCCTTCTTCTCCCGCGCGCACTTTGGGCAGTGAGCTATTACTAGGTTGCATCCGCAAGGTATTACTTCTGTAAACTTCCTCACTTTCACTTGCACCACCCCCCTGGACCCTGGGACCCCAGTCTTTTGCAAATCCAAGAGCCGGCTTCCCCATGTCGCAATGAAGAGCGAGGGTCCAGGGGGGGAGGGGTGGCGCGAAACTTGGCTGACTGTATCCGCAAGAGAATGGTCTTGAACTTGGTAACCGCCTCTGGATGTACGCAGTATGGAGCTCTGAGCCCCATTTCAATATGGATCCCTGATTTCTCCTTCCCATTTTCGAAAGGCAGGAAGAAGAGGGACGCCGGCTGCGGGACGCGGAACCAGACGTTTGTCACGTTTGTGCGGTTGCGTACGTCGCTTGCGTTGCGAGGATTGCGTTGCGTGCTTTCGTCTCTCCATAGCCACAGGCTCTCCTCTTGCCTGGTGCCGGCCCGGTGAGGTGGGTGAAACTGGGAGGAACTTTCCACTACCTAAAGAGACTCGCGCCGGGATCGCTTTTGTGCCTTTGCAGATATGGTCCGCCTTACCGCCTGCTTGAATACTTGCTCACCAGAGTTGAGACTCGAGACTCGGGACTCGCTCAAGCGGACGTTGTATGTGGGAGTTCCCTCGACCTCGGTCGGTGTAGCACAGCTTCGAGCCCGACACGTTCTGGTACCTGAAGGCTGACGGGGGCCCTGACGCTGTCGTCTGAAGAGGGGGTTCTTCCCTACTAACCTTAGTATTATTAGAGTAGGTGTCATTAAAAGCAAAGCCTGTGTTTAGAGTCTGCCAAGAGCAGAATGGCTGTGTGAACGGATGAAACCAATGCCTCTTTTTCTTCTCTCCTGGCCATGCAATTTCTTAGTCAGTCGGCCTCTACTATGGCGCTCTCTTACTCCCATGAGAATGGTGTGGCTCGATGTCCAGGACATGGGGCGTCGTTCCCGCCCTCGGATCGCCGGTTCGCTGTTTAGGACCGCCGCTGGGCGCATGAGATTCGATACTGGGCGAGTTTGCAAGGGTAACACCACATAGGTATCAACTCCAAAGTGCGGGAGAAAGGGAGAGAGGGGAGCGTTCCATCGGATAAAGCCAAGCATCGTCATTCCATCATGCCCTGCCAGCCAAATATGGGACGGTGATGGACGCAGCCCAAGGGATGATCGGACACTGGCCTGCAGCATAGAATACAGAAGCACAGAAGGTAAGGTGGTAGTCAAAGTCCCCCCTGAAGAGCAGAAAAAAACCAAAAGGATGGGATCTCTTGAAGGAACAAGTTTCGGTGATCACTTGGCCGTCCAATTGACACGGCGGCGGTCATCCGGAGTCGCAAGGTGAAACGGGGCCAGCGGCGGCCCAGCACTCAAAGTAGGCCACCAGCCACGCCCCCCCTTCCCTCCAAAGCGGCAGGCGACCTTGGCTCATTCGTGCGGTAGCGGTTGTCGGTAGGTACTCGAGCACTCTCTCGCAAACTGCTGCAACCCGCGAGTAACGGTAGTCCTTTTCGGCCTAGGCGATAGGTGCCCATTTTAAGCCTTCTGAAACTCGACGGGTGGGGACCCCTATCCCGGTATTCCCGCGTCTCTCCACGCCTAGCACGACTTTGGGGGGGAGGGATGGGCTGCGAATACCACCTACCACAGTCGTGCAGTTGCCCCGGACTCGCCTCCCCTTTCTGGAGTGCATCTTTGGTGGTGAACGATGGACGATAGGCTGAGAATAACTATTCCGTCTGCAGAAAGAGACCTTGAAAAGCGCTTGTTTGCAGTTCTGCAGGATGGAGAAGGCAACGGACGCTGGGTGTTCGGTGATGATGCGTTTGCATGCACTTGCACCGCAAAAGGCCAGCCGGAGCTTAAGCTCAGCCAGAGGTCGGGTGTTGCTTGCTTCTCTTTTCGTCTCAACTATCTTGATAAGCTGCTGCCGGTCAATAGGATGCGCAGCGATATAGAAGATCCCCGAGAATAGCCACAGAGTGCAATTCATTTCTAACCGCACCCGCTGCTGCTACTGCTGGTACTAAGGTGAATAGTGGTCTTGGGTCTTTGGTTCTTCATGCTATTGCACTATTGGTCAGTCATCTGTGTATCTCGTTGTTTATCAGATACTCTGGCGAGTTTGCCCAGACTTTGGGTCCGTTAACCATATTTTTCTGTCCTTCCTTCTTCGGACTCCTCGAAATCTCCAGTCCAGGTCCTTTTCCCAGATGCCGAGTAAGCGAGGCTCCGCGTCTTCCCTTGGCTCTGGCGATCCCCGAGCTGATGATGACATTTCGACGATGCATTCTGCTCGACGGGCCTAAATTCGCGGATAGATATCTGACATACCCGCCGCGCTATCCCATGACCTGTCTTGAATCGCCAACTTCCACTGAACGAATGCGATAGGTATTATTCGTGTCCGTACGTAGAGTCAGCGTTGATGAAGCCGTAGTTCATGATCAACAGCCCACTTCAAAAGGTCCCCCTGGCCCCATCGATCGGCTGTCCGCCTTGCCTGGCCTGCTCTTTCTCCATGTTTCGTCGTTATTGTCCCCCCCCTGGCCCGACCTTTGTGGCCAAAGGGGCATCCCATGCTGAGCCTGTCCGTGGCCAGCATGGGACCGTGGTGGCTTGACTCTTTGGACGAACCCACCAGCAAAACTTTACTTGACAACTTGACATATCAGTCGTAAATGAATAAGAGCCATTTTCGTAAATTGCGTACGTGCTGAGTGTATAATCCCGCTTGCCCTTTTTCTGCGCAGGGGAAATGCGCGAGGGAAAAAGTTTCCTAGAATAACTATCCGTTCCTGGAAAACAAATCAACCGCAAAAAGCTGTGCACCGCCAGGAACGAGCCCTACCGTCTATCGTCGGCGGCCCGTCACTTAGTCAGTTGACGAGGGTGCGGATAGTGATTCGATATTAACATGAGCTCATCGCCTCATTAAAAGTCCTGACTTGTTTGCTTCCTTTTTTCCCTGCTCAAGAGATCCGTACATACTTTTTCTTGTCTAATTGTTTGCGAGTATACGGTGTACCACGGTCAATTAGCAATAGCCGCAATTTGTCATTATCTCGAACTCATCTCGTTTGACTGCAAAAGTCCTGTGTCACTCCTAACCTTATCATGTCGTGAACCCAAACTCAGCCTTGCTTTTCTCGCTTGCTCTGCCCACAGACACCGCACACTCCAAAGTCGCCGGGATTAAGATACTCGCTTTCCTGGCACGCGGCGCCTTCGCAGCGCCAGGCGTTCGGTACGCTTGCCGGGTCCAGCACGTGGGAGCAGACGGCGCACGTTATCGACAGGGCAGAGTTGGCAAACGAGCAGACTCCACAGATGGACCCGGTCTCACTCTCTCGTCCATCTTCGGCCGTTGTCGCTGCGGCCGCAGCTCTATTAGACTTTGACGCTGTCATCGTCGCTGACTCCGTTGCCGTTGCCGTCACCCTCTGTCTCTCGGCCGATGGCGACGCCGCGGATGGTGCGCTGGGCGGCGAGATCGGATGACGGGTTGCTATTGACCGGGGGTCGTCTCGCGCTTCTCTCTTGATTGTGGGGGCTGCACTCGCGATATCTAAAATTGGCGCCTCCTGATCGTCATCCGGCTCCTCCTTGACCTTGACTCGCGAAGGAACTTCTTGCTCTGGTCTCCGGATCGTCGGTGCTTCCTTGTGTGATGACTCTGCTACTCGATTCGGTGGCGGCACACTTGAAGCTTCAGCTTCGTCCATGGGCTCGCGCTTGAACTTGAGATGCGTCTGTCGCCATTGCTTCACCGACGCCTGTAACTCTTGTAGCTCGTTCTGGGCATCCTGGTCATCGGAGTTCTCGTCTTCGCAGACCTTGATCATGCCCCTGCCTTTGCCGTCCTTGATCACCATACCATCGATGTCGACAGCGTCTTCGTTCTTGATGTCCGCCGGATCGTCCTCGTACTCGCTTTCGCCGCTATCCTCATCCTTAACCTCGTTTTTGATGTCTTCTTCGGGCTCCTTTTTCGGCTGGTCGAATCGTGCGAGCGCCGCCGCGGCTCGCAGTTCACGTCCACGAGCACTCCCAGCCACGCGAGGTTTCGCTAGCGTGCGCTTGCCGCCTTCCAATTTGACCTTTGTCTCCTCATCAGCGCCCAGAGCGGTGCCGTTGGCACCAAACTTCTTGAGGATTCGGCGCTCCTTTTGCTCCTTGTAGGAAAGCTTTGGCTTGATCTTCCTCTTGCGTCCACGGGAGCGATATGTGCCGCCACACAGGTGCTCCGGAAGCGGTTCAGAGGGAAGCGCGACGTTGCGTTGGAATTGTCCCGTCCCCAGCAGGGCACCACGACCCCAGATGCCTTCGCCAGAGTACCCTCGATGCCAAAGCCCTCGCATCTGCTCGGCGTAATTGTTTCTGACTGCCCAGAATGCTCTAGAATGATTCATTTGCTTGCAGTGTGCCAGCCTTTGTCCCGTCAGCTATGGATCATCGGGGACACTGCAGCAGACTTACTCGTGCATCATCACCATCTGAACGTACTCAAATGGTAGCCATCGTCCTGATTGCGATTTGAGCACTAGTTGAATGACTTCACCAGCGTTGAAATTCCTGCCTACGAACTCTCTGTTGAACTCATACTGCTCTAGAGACATCACCGAAAGGTGGTGCTCTTTCATGATCGGTACTAAATCTGATCAGCCAGACCCATCTCTATAGCAACAAGAGCCACTTACAACATTGTGCGGCGATCCTTTCGAGAAAATCTTGGGCAATCTTTTCATCGCGGCCTTTCAGAGGCTTGATGAAGATGATCCGGTCGTTTGGATGCGAACGTTTCGCATTCAGCCGCTGGATGCCGATCGGCATACTGGCACTAACAAGGATTCGGGACTGAAATGCCAAAGGTAAAAGCCGTGGAATCGTTTGCTTTCTTGACCAATCTTTCCGTAAAGTTTCAAGTCTTTTCTGGGTATCAATGATATCTGGAGTGGAATATTCGATGGAAGAAGTGATGCGTCTAAGACTGGACCAGGACGTGACGAGGGGCAAAAGACGGCAGAGCGGGAGTGACGCGCAGTCACGTGCCCCACTTTCCCAGTATTCGGTGACATCTTTCTCGCCGCCTTCCAGGCTCCAAAGAGATGGCTGCCTACCTGATTTACACAAGATCAAGTAAGGGTAAAGTTTTTGCCATGAAAAATTGGCATATTCAGCGTTTCTATGTCCCAATACTATTTGAATCTTTCTGCTGAAGTGATCATCGTCTTCTGGCGCCACCGGCGGCAGCTGCATCGCCTCTCTCCGCAAGAGATACAACCTCACTAATACCAGC